ATTTGCCTTTTACTTATTCCCTTCCCTACTTCTACACATCCAGATCCTACCTCTCTTTGAAAAGCCAAGTAAAATGAGAAAGTCCACGTTTATCAACATAAATTATATTGTGATCCTCACCATGTATTTTTTTTTAAATTTTTTTTTTAACGTTTATTTATTTTTTTGGGACAGAGAGAGACAGAGCATGAACGGGGGAGGGGCAGAGAGAGAGGGAGACACAGAATCGGAAACAGGCTCCAGGCTCTGAGCCATCAGCCCAGAGCCCGACGCGGGGCTCGAACTCCCGGACCGCGAGATCGTGACCTGGCTGAAGTCGGACGCTTAACCGACTGCGCCACCCAGGCGCCCCACTCACCATGTATTTTATATGCTATGTTTAGTATGTGATTTTGTTGATTTAAAATCATCTCAACAATTCTTTGACTTATAAATCCAGGAAAAATAGTATATATTAACTGTAAACATTGTAAAGATTTCCCAAGTAAACAAAATTTTGAAAAATCAATTATTTAAGAGTCCCTTGGGGCGCCTGGGTGGCTCAGTAGGTTAAGTGTCTGACTTCAGATCGGGTTCAAACCCCGCATTGGGCTCCACACTCGATGCCTGCTTGGGATTCTTTCTCTCTCCTGCTTGTGCTTGCTCTCTCTCTCTCTCTCTCAAAATAAATTAATAAACTTAAAAAAAAAAAAAAGAGTCCCTTGAAGAAAACAGGAGCAACAAGAACTCTCCTACTTTGCTGAAGGGACCATGAATTGATTGGTACAACCACCTGGGGAACCAATTTGACACGTTCTGGAAAATAGGCATGTTTATTTAATTTTATTTTACTTTATTTTAATGTTTATTAATTTTTGAGAGACAGAGTGCGAGCAGGGGCAAAGAGAGGAGGACACAGGATCCAAAGGGGGCTGTGTGCTGACAGCAGAGAGCCCAAAGTGGGGCTCTGACTCACTAACCATATCATGCCCTGAGCCAAAGTCAGAAGCTTAACCCACTGAACCACCCAGATGCCCCTAGGCATGTTTTAAAATCTAGCAGTTCCACTCTTAGGTATACACACTAGAGTAATTCTTGCGCATATGTACATGTTCAAGAATATTCATAATGGCATGCATGATTTATAGTAGCCAGAAACTACAAACAATCCAAATGTCCACTAACAATAGGATGAATAACTATATTTACACAACAAAAATAAGTGATCTATTGCATTACACACTAACGTGGTTGAATCTTAAAAATAAATGTTGATTAGGGGCACCTGGGTGGCTCAGTCTGTTGAGCGTCTGACTTCGGCTTAGGTCATGATCTCACAGTTTGTGGATTCGAGCCCCGTGTCGGGTTCTGTGCGGACAGCTCAGAGCCTGGAGCCTGCTTCGCACTGTGTCTCCCTCTCTCTCTGCCCCTCCCCTGCTTGCACTCTATCTCTCAACAATAAATAAATGTTAAAGAAAAAAATTAAAAAAATATATTGATTGAAAGAAGGCAGAAACAAAATATATAGTGTATGATTCTATTTATATAGTTCAAAAACAAGGAAAATAAACCATAACATTTAGGGATGTATACTTAGAGGGTAAAAACAAGGAAATATTATTTTTAATTTTATTATTTTTTTAAGTTTATTTATTTTGAGAGAGACAGAGACAGTGTGAGTGGGGCAGGGGTAGAGAGAGGGAGACAGAGAATCAAAAGCAGGATCCAACTCACAAAACTGTGAGATAATGACCTGAGCCAAAACCAGGAGTTGGATACTTAACCGACTAAACCACGCAGATGCCCCATGGAAATATTTATTATAACAAGCATACCAGTAGTTTCTTCTTGAAGAGAGGGATTATGTTAGGGGGAGGGAGACAAGCAGGGTTTCTACAGACATTTATAATGTACCTTTCTTGGTGGTTATATGAGCATTTGCATTACGATGTTAATTTTTTTTTTTAATTTTTCAATATTTATTTTTGGGACTGAGAGAGACAGAGCATGAACGGGGGAGGGGCAGAGAGAGAGGGAGACACAAAACCGGAAACAGGCTCCAGGCTCTGAGCCATCAGCCCAGAGCCTGACGCGGGGCTCGAACTCACGGACCGCGAGATCGTGACCTGGCTGAAATCGGACGCTCAACCGACTGCGCCACCCAGGCGCCCCACGATGTTAATTTATGTATTGATGTTTTATGCATTTTTCTGTGTTATATGTCTAGTAAAAACCATTAAACAGAGAAAAACCAAAGGTTTCTTATTGCTCTTTATTTAAAAACATAATCAGATGTACCTTGGTGTTTATATTGTCTCATTGTTATTCAGCTGAAAATAAGCATTGAAAGTGTATAATTAGCAACAGCTTAATGAAACCATAGCATTTATAGGATTCTCATATGGATACAAAATAAAACCTGTCATAAAAATTCGTAAAAGATACAAGGTAGAGCACATTTTAATACTGGTACAATGGCAACAGCAGCTTTACAAATGTTTATTATATAGGATTTCTATAGCATTTTTTAATGACCCTTTATTCCACAAGAATAATCAAATCATCAAAAAATTTTTTTTAATTTGAGAGAGAGAGAGAGAGCATAAGCTGGGGAGAGGGGCAGAGGGACAGAGAGAGAATCTTAAGCAGGCTCCACGCTCAGTGCCAAGCTTGACAGGGGGTGTGATCCCCTGACCCAGGGATCATGACCTGAGCTGAAATCAAGAGTTGGATCCTCACAGACTGAGCCACCCAGGTGCCCCATCAAGTCATTTCAATTAAATTGAGACAGTACATGCTGGTTTATCAATGTAGGCATTATAAATGCCCCATAAAATACTTGTTACAAATACTCAAATGTTTTATTCTCAGTGATCATTCCCTTTATTCTTATATAATATAAATGTAGCTAGCAGATTTTTTTTCTAACTAGAAGCAGGTATGTGTCTTAACTTTATTACCTGCTTCATTTTCATTTATAAATGTGTTATAAACATAAACATGGGTCTCATAAGAACAAAACATCACCCTCAGATTGGCTTTCTAGTCTGGTGACACAACACTCTATTTGGCATCTGAAAGCAATCTTTATCTGTGGAAATATAGGCATTTCTGAGAAATAACTAACATATCTTTTTTAGCCTATGCTAACCAGGATATATTTCAAGGGTATCATCTATGCAGCTGCTCCCTGTCAGGCTACAAAGTTCAGGGACGATCTAAAACCCCTTGTTTCCTATCCATGAGCAGCTGCTACCATTATTCTTGGAACTGCAGGGGAGGTTATCGTCATCAAAGCTAATCCTCACCTTCAGTCACAAGAACTCACCCTAATGAAAGTTCCCCTTTCTCTGTGATACTTAACACATTAATTATGGGGATCCTGGCTGAAGCTACAGTTGTGTCCAAGGCTAAGTAGACATGTCTGACAAGCTGGGGGCTCCCAGAAATACCTGGCAACTTTGCAGGGTTACCAGATAAAATATAGAATGCCCAGTTAAATCTGAATTTCAGATAAACGATGAATACTTTTTGTAGTAGAAATATCTCCCATGAAATATCTGGGACTTCCTTATGTTAAAATAAACAATTCATTGTTTAACAGGACATATTTATATTTATTTATTTAAAAAATTTTTTTAATGTTTGTTTATTTTTGAGAGCAAGAGAGAGAGAGAGAGGGAGAGAGGGAGAGAGAGAGAGGGCAGAATTCGAAGCAGGCTCCAGGTTCCGAGCTGTCAGCACAGAGCCCGATGCAGGGCTCGAACTCATGAACACTGAGATCATGACCTGAGCTGTAGTCAGACACTTAACCGACTGAGCCACTCAGGTGCTCCTGGACATATGTATATTTAAAGGTTGTTACTTGTTTATCTGAAATTCAAATTTGTTATATATTTGTTTTTGTTAAATCTGGCAACCCTGGACTGGTGGGAAAGAACAAAAATCCAGTGAGGTGTGCATTATTACTGGTATTGAAACAATAGGCTGATGAGGATAGGAATTAGGTCTCAAAGTGAATCTGCTATGGACTTCAAATAATCCTTGGCAGGCCACTGGGGAAAATACAAGGTTCATGTTGAGGTCCTTGTAAAACTTATATTTAGCTGCATGAATGTGGACAGCAAATATCAACGAAAGGAATATCTCAGACTTCAGTGAGCCAGATAGAACTACCTAGATATCATTTCTTTTTTTTTTTTTTAATTTTTTTTTCAACGTTTTTATTTTATTTTTGGGACAGAGAGAGACAGAGCATGAATGGGGGAGGGGCAGAGAGAGAGGGAGACACAGAATCGGAAACAGGCTCCAGGCTCTGAGCCATCAGCCCAGATGCGGGGCTCGAACTCACGGACCGTGAGATCGTGACCTGGCTGAAGTTGGACGCTTAACCTATTGCGCCACCCAGGCGCCCCTAGATATCATTTCTAAATGCTAGAAATGATATGTTCTAAATTTTAAGGTTATATTGGACATTTTGCTTCACATCCTTTTGGAAAATAACTGGGTTGAGAGGGGGAAAGGTCTTACCTCTTAACTGTTTATAGTAAACAGAAAACAGAAATCATTTATTTGATCAAATAAATGATTTCTGTTTACTATCAGACTTTTTTACTGATCAAGTCTGTAGCACTTAGAGAATGCATTAGCGTTACGGGATGAAATAACTTTTCTTTTTAATTACCTGAGGATACGGAAGATGAATGGGGACCAGTTTACTTTAATGTCATAACTCTACCTATTGAATACAAATCTGTTATCTAGTTAAATGTGAACAACCTCTCCAACCTAATTGGGTAATTCCAGGATAAACATCACTTTGGGGATTGCATTTTCCTATCTGTTCTCTTATTGATCATGCAAACTAAAAAATATCCAAATACTGACTTTGTATCATAGTATGTATGGGGGCTCCACACATACTTTAATTCTTTAGATGGAATTATATATTAGTATAATTACTTATACCTACTCTACTATATTAAAAAAAAGGATTGGGGTGATTTTATCTGTGTATTTTATGGATCATCACACGGAGTCAGGCTGAGTTGACATCAGTTTTGTTCATCAAAGCTATTTGTAGAAAGTGGCAGAGTTTGAGTTGGGCTTCTAGGGTGAGCCATCTATGGAAAAAAAAAAGGTCCCAGTTATAATATGAATTATGTTCCTGTGGCCAACACAGTTCTCCTTCCTCACTAACAGAATCCAATGCAGCCAGACTCTAAAAACCACTTTTCCCACTTTCTTTCATATAGTCAGAAGTTCCTGGATAGCACCTTCTGATGAGGGGTAGCTTAGCTAGCACACCCTTTTGCCCTTTGCCTTTCACCTATCTTGCCTAGAATGTGGACACCAGGCTTCAGGAGGTATAGGCATTCTTCACCATGAGGATAAAAGCCACACCTTAAGGATGGAAGAGCAGTCGGGGCACCTGGGTGGCTCAGTTACTTAAGCATCCCACTCTTGATTTCAGCTCAGGTCATGATCTCATGGTTCGTGGGCTTGAGCCCTGTGTGAGATTCTGCACTGACAGTGCGGAGCCTGCTTGGGATTCTCTCTCTCCCTCTTTGCCCCTCCCCCACTCACTTACATGCACTCTCTTTCTCTCAAAATAAATAAATAAAAATCCTTTAGACGGGCGCCTGGGTGGCTCAGTTGGTTAAGCATCTGACTTTGACTCAGGTCATGATCTCATAGCTCGTGGGTTCAAGCCCCATGTCAGGTTTGAGCCCGACGTTGGGTTCTGTGCTGACAGCTTAGAGCCTGAAGCCTGCTTCTGGTTCTATGTCTCCCTCTCTCTCTCTGCCCCTCCCCCTGCTCATGCTCTGTCTCTCTCTCTCTCTCTCAAAAATAAATAAACATTAAAAAAATTAAAAAAAAAATCCTTTAGAATACGATTCTAAATAAATGATTTTGAAGAAAAGGAAAAATTTTATTTTTTTCCTAAAGGTTTACCTGAAACTTTCTCCTCAAGGCCCGGGTCATTACTGGAGTCAGTCCAGTTCCTGTATCCATATTTTCTTTATTCGTAAGTGGGGTTCCACCTGGGCTCCTGCAAAGATAATGAAAATATTACAAGCTGTGTTATATGCCAATTTTTCAAGTGGGTTTAGAAAGCATAAAGATAAGGGAGCGTATTACCTCTCTACGTCAACTTTTCTAAGTAGTTTCCGCAGATCTATCTGGCTTTTACCAGGAGTACTGACGAAATAAAAATATAAAAGTTAGAGCTTGCCAGATTTTATCATTTTTCCCAAAGCAAAGCAGTCATTTCTACAGGCAACATCCTAGAAAGTACTTCTATTTGTTACATTAAAAAATAGCAGTAGAGGGGCGCCTGGCTGGCTCAGTTGGTAGAGTGTGTAACTCTTGATCTTGGGATCGTGAGTTCAAGGCCCACTTTGGGAATGGAAACTACTCAAAAAAAAAAAAAAAAAAGCAGTAGATGCTGATAGGAACATAAGGCAATATAATCATCCTAATAAGTAATACTTCTTGCCTCAGTAATTATACATTTATGATTCCATCTTAGGGAGGAACTCAGCTATGCACACAGATTATGGACAAGGATGTTCACTGAAGAGGTGGAAATAAATCATAAACAACCTAAATGTCTCAAAACAGGAGTTTATCTATAAAACTTACATATAATGAACTGCATATATTAAAGAAGTAAAAATGATGATTTAAACTGATTTTTAGGGTGCTTGGGTGGCTTAGTTGGTTGATTGTCTAACTCTTGATTTCAGCTCAGGTCATGATCTCGTGGTTCATTAGATCAAGCCCCATGTCAGCCTCTATGCTGACAGCATGGAGCCTGCGTGGGATTCTCTTTCTCTCTCTCTCTGCCTTGCCCTACTAGCTCCAACTCTTTCTTCCTTTTTTTTTTTTTTTTTAGTAAAAAAAATTTTTAACGTTTATTTATTTTTGAGACAGAGAGAGACAGAGCATGAACAGGGGAGGGGCAGAGAGAGAGGGAGACACAGAATCGGAAGCAGGCTCCAGGCTCTGAGCCATCAGCCCAGAGCCCGACGCGGGGCTCGAACTCACGGACCGTGAGATAGTGACCTGAGCTGAAGTCGGCCACCCAACCGACTGAGCCACCTGGGTGCCCCGCTCCAACTCTTTCTAAATAAATAAACAAACAAATAAACTACAAAACAAAAAACCCAAAACAAAAAAACCCCCAAAACTTTAAACTGATTTTTAATGAGATGAGGAAAGTTCTTGACACATTAAATGGGAAAAGCCTTAAATTGTATGTACAATATGATCATATACAGGTACACAAACAAGTACATGCACACACACACATTTCATTCATTCTAAGATATACTAGTTATCATATCTTATTATTTCTGAAATTGGACTGCTCTTAAAATTTTTGATAATATTTTGGGGCACCTGGGTGGCTCGGTCATTTAAGTGTCCAACTTCAGCTCAGGTCACGATCTCATGGTTCGTGAGTTCGAGCCCCCCATCTGGCTCTGTGCTGACAGCTCAGAACCTGAAGCCTACTTCAGATCCTGTGTCTCCCTCTCTCTCTGCCCCTATCCCATTTGTGCTCTGTCTCCATCTATTAAAAATGAATAAACATTAAAAAAAAATTAAAATTCTTGATAATATTTCAAGAATAATATATTCAAGAATAATAAAAAAAATTCTTGATAATATTTCTTTCCCCCATCCACTATTTTTTTTTTTAGTAATCTTCTGTGCCCAACGTGGGCCTTGAACTCATGACCCCGAGATTTAGACTTGTAACACTCTACCAACTGAGCAAGCCAGGTGCTCCCCCACAAACCCACTATTAAATCAATGGTGTATCTTAACAATAAACAGCATCATGAAATGGAAATAATAGAGTAGATACCTATTCAAAGATTACAATGCTAAACAATAATATGTTAACAGTGACTATCTTCAATCATACGGTTATTTGAATGATTGTTTTCTTCTTTAAACTTTTCTGTGGATTTCCATTTTTCTACAATGAGCATATATAACTTTTAAAGTTAGAGATAAGCAAAAAATCATTCTTTTAAGTAACAGTAGAGCACAACACAGTACAGTTCCTTACATTAAGACATTTGTAACTCGAGTTGATAGCACTTTGGAGTTGGGTTTCAGGGTGACATGCTGCAGGTCAGAGACAGTAACTAGTGGATTCCGTGTCTTTGGTGATGATACAAGCTTTAAATAAAAAAATGAGACAGTATCAAAACACACTTAAAAATGTCATTCAAAATATAAATATGCTGAAACAATGAATATTTGGATGCTGAGTATGTGTAAGATATATCTACTATTCTACTCAACTTGTATTCCAAAACTTCAGAGTATGTCTCTACCTCTTTAGACTAATGGTTGGTAGATAAAATTGAGGTTTCATCTCATGGAAACCTCTGCTCCAAGAGAGCCAAGTGTAGGAAGAAGCAAATGTGCTGGCTGAAGCATAAAAGAAGAAAGATGAGGCAGAGGTCCAAGTAAACCACTAGCTTGTACACCCGTGGAGCCACAGGCGTAGACATAAGGAAAGCCAGAGGCCAGGAATGCTGGTACCAATTGTTGCACTGCATGCCTACTTTCTAGAGCTTGATTCAATGGATCTAGAACATTCATCACCATTTGGTTGCAGTGACCACTTTTGAGAGACTCGCCTTGCTCATACCAAAATAGTGTCTTTTGGTCCTTTGCTCTGAACCTGTGACTTTTGGGACTAATTCTGTTTTCATTTGTGGCTGAATGTAACACATGTACAATAAATCCTCTCTTCTGCTGTCTTAGCTGAACCAAAAAACCCCCAAAACATCAAATACTTACCACAGAATGGCTTCTATACATAAGACTTATAATTATTTTCCAGAAAGAGACAACCAGGTTAAAAGCTGAAAGACCATGTGTATGGTCAGTGACATCTTACCTTCTTCCTTTCATCAAAACACTGTGTCTTCTTTAATTTCACAGTCAGTAGATCTTCAACTGTTATTTGCATGGGTCCATCTTTTTTTAATGGTCCAGCCTTAAAATACACAGAGAGGTTACAATTCAGATTGTAACCAGGATATCTAGTCAAATACAAATCCAAACCTAGTTTTTAAAGGCTCATTTAATGGGGCGCCTGGGTGGCTCAGTTGGTTACGTGTCCGACTTCAGCTCATGGGTCATGAGTTCGAGCCCTGCATCGGGCTCTGTGCTGACAGCTCAGAGCCTGGTACCTGCTGTGGATTCTGTGTCTCCTCTTTTTCTGCCCTTCCCCACTTGTATTCTGTCTCCTTCTTTCTCTCAAAAATAAACATTAAACAAAAGTTTTTAAAGACTCATTTAAATATTAATGCTTATTTACACTAGGAGCCTATTAAATTCTTTCCATTCAATAAAAAATGATGCCGTTTTCAGTACCCATGGATGCTAATGCTATTGCAAAGTATTTATCAAAATGTAAGGCTTTGATAGTACATAAGAGATGGGCTAGTTCCCTGCAGCTTTACATCTTCCTCAGGAGTCACTATAATAAGTCAGGGGTTGAAGGAGTTCCTCAGGGGCACCACGGTGACTCAGTTGGTTAAGCATCCAGCTCTTGATTTCAGCTCAGATCATGATCTCATGATTTGTGGGATTGAGTCCCACCTCTGGCTCTATGCTGACAGTGCAGAGCCTGCTTGGGATTCTCTCCCTCCCCCTCTCTCTGCCCCTCCCCAGCTCACGAGCTCTCTCTCTCTCTCTCTCTCTGAAAATAAATTAAAAAAAACATTAAAAAAAAAAAAGGAGTTCCTCAAATCAAAGTGAAATTTTGCTTGAATTACCTAAAAAGATGATTCAGTTCCCACAGAACAAGAATGTGTAGCCAGAGAGGTATACATTATGGCAAACATAACAATAGGGTCTAGATTTATTTAACTCAGCCATTTTAAACCAAATGCATCTGTAGTGAAAATCCAGCAGATTTGAAAACAGGGTCATGTTTATCTTAGTGATACACAAATATTCTGATCCCCTTGGCAGATAACTAATTAATGGAGACTGGTCTTCCAGTCTAATGACATTATACTTGAGGATCCATCACTTCTCTTTATTCTGACTTTACTCACTAAGCCAACTTCTGTTCTTACTTTGGTTTTCCAGGGTGGCTTTGCTTTTGGTAAAAAGATATTATGACAATCCATTAGGAATATTCCAGTTTACTGGGTTTCATTCATTTATCCTTAAAAAAAAAATCACTTTTATTTCTAAATCCAGCTTTTGTGAGTTCCTATGGGTCTGAGTTTTTAAAAACATAATAATTGACATAATTAAGATATGGAATCAGAAAAAAAATGTGGCTTTCCTCTTAAGGGCCTTAGCCTAGTCTTAAAAGTCTGCCTTGGAGCGCCTGGGTGGCTCAGTCGTTAAGCGGCCGACTTCAGCTCAGGTCATGATCTCGCGGTCCGTGAGTTCGAGACCCGCGTCGGGCTCTGTGCTGACAGCTCAGAGTCTGGAACCTGTTTCAGATTCTGTGTCTCCCTCTCTCTCTGTCTCTTCCCCGTTCATGCTCTGTCTCTCTCTGTCTCAAAAATAAATAAACGTTTAAAAAAAAAAAAGTCTGCCTTGCTTAAAAAAAATTTAAAATTTTAAAAATTAAAGAAAAAAAAAAAGGGCGGAGGTGGCGCCTGGGTGGCTCAGTTCGGTTAAGTGCCAGACTTGGGCTCAGATCATGACCTCATGGTTCCTGGGTTCAAGCCCCACATCAGGCTCTGTGCTGACAGCTCAGAGCCTGGAGTCTGCTTCAGATTCTGTGTCTCCCTCTCTCTCTCTGCCCTGCCCCGACTTGTACTCTCTCTGTCTCAAAAATAAATAAACATTAAAAAAAAATTTTTTTAAAGGCTGCCTTGTTTTACTCCTACATTATACACTGATCAAAACACATCATTACTGGATTGTTTCCTACCTGAAGTGCTTTAGTGCGACTGGATTTTCTGAGCAGCAAAGGTGCTATAGGTGGTGGAGGTGGAGGTAGAGGAGGAGGTGGAGGGGGTGGAGGCGGAGGTGGAAGAGGAGGAAGATGGGTGGCTGGCTGTGGCAGCGTGGGAGGAAGTACAGCTCTAGATTCTCCAGGGGTGGTTGGAGCACAGGCAGGCACATTTGTAAGTTTACCACTTATGTGACATGTCTGACCACAGTTTGGGCAGGAAGAATTTTCCAAGATAGCCTGTAAGAAAACATTACATTTGGCAAATAAATAACAGATTAATTTGGTTCTTGAAGCTCAGAGTCATCAAGATAATAGCTACCATGTACTGAATGCTTTCTCAGCACACTATGTGTTTTATAATGTTTTCTCAATTATCACAAGCTCATTCACTCATTCATTCATCTATTCATTCATGTATTTGTTTTGTGTGTGCTATATGCCAGGCACTATGGGAATGTGAATCCTGTTTGTCATATCATGGAGCTGACAGTCTGGTAAGGAAGACAGATATTAAACACACACATACTCAGAACAAAAAAAAATAATGCTTCAGTGAAAACAGTGAATTGTGCTGTGATCATGAATAGTGAGAAACCTGGGGAGTGATATTCAGCCATAATCTCAAGGATGAATTGTGACTTACCAGGTCTCAAGGGAGATAAGGTCTGGGGAAAGAAAGTTCTTGGCAGAGGCAAAAGTACTTAATGAAGCCAAGACTACAGTATACTCAAGGAACTGATAAAAAGGCCAAGGGGATGGAATATGAATGCTATGAGCTGAATTGTATCCCCTACTCCCCTCCCAACTCATATGTTGAAGCCCTAATCCAAGTACCTCAGAATGACTTTGGAGATAGAGCCTTTAAAATGATTAAGTTAGGGGTGCCTGGTGGCTCACTGGGTTAAGTGTCTGACTTCAGCTCAGGTCATGATCTCACAGTTTGTGAGTTTGAGCCCCATGTCAGGCTCTGTGTTGACATCTTGGAGCCTGGAGCCTGCTTCGGATTCTGTGTGTCTCTCTCTCTGCCCCTCTCCCACTGTTCTTGCTCTGTCTCTCTCTCTCTCTCTCAAAAATAAATAAATCACATTAAAAGAAAAGAAGTGATTGAGTTAAAATGAGGCTATTAGGGTAGGCTCTCATACAATTTGACAGATGTCCTTATAAAAAGAAGAAATTTGAACACACAGGAGAAACACCAGGGATGTGTGTGCACAGAGAAAAGACCATTTGAGGACACAGTGAGAAGGCAAGCCAAAAGAGAGAGGCCTAAGAAGAAACCAACTCTGCCAACACTTTGGTGTTAACTTCTGGCCTCTAGAACTGTGAGAAAATAAATTTCTGTTATATAGGCCACCTGGACCATGCTACTTTATCATGGCAGCCCTTGCAAATGAAATTAGTTTCCTATGGCTGCTGTATTGAATTATCACAAACTTTGTGTCTTAACACAATTGAAATTCAGTGTTTTAAAGTTTTATTTATTTAAGTAATCACTATACCCCATGTGGGGATTGAACTCACAACCCTGAGAACAAGAGTTGCATGCTCTTCTGACTGAGCCAGCCAGGTGCCCCTGAGATTCATTTTCTTCAGTGCTAGAGGCTAGAATTCCAAAATCAAGGCATCAGCAGGGCTGTGCTACCTCCCAATGCTCTAGGTAAGAATCTGTTCCTTACCTCTTCCAGTTTTGGGTAGCTGGGGCCATTCCTGGGCTTGGGGCTGTATCATTCCAATCTCTGCCTGTGGTCCCACTGCTCCTCCTTTCCTCTGTGCATGCTCTACTCTGTCTCTTTTATAAGGACATTCGTCATTGGATTTAGGGTCCACCCAGATACCAGTTTATGATCTCCTCATCTACAAATCATTAACTTCAGGGGTGCCTGTCTGGCTTAGTTGGCAAAGTATGCAACTCTTGATCTTGTGATCATGAGTTCGAGCCCCATGCTGGGTGTAGAGATTTCTTAAAAATAAAAGTCCTTAATTTAATTATATGAGTAAAGATCTTTTCCTCAAATAAGGTAACATTTTCAGGTTCCAGGGATTAATACTTGGACAGATCTTTTGGAGGCCATCAATTCAGCCCGTTATAGATGATATCATCCTCATTTTTATAGCTGAGGAAACTGAGGCCCAGAGGAATGAGGTGATTTGCCTTTCTTCCTCTGTCTAATTCATTTTGAGGTATAAATTCTGGGAGAAGGGTTGTAATCCCAGAAGTTTCACTCCAAAACAGTAAGTGCAATGTTTATTTTTTGAGTTTTAGATGTTGAAAGTAAGGGCCTTGTTTAGGGGAGTTTGGAGAGAGTGGATATTTATAATTTTTTTCTGCCTATATCAGTCAAGGAAATAGAATTATCCCGAGTATTTAAAAGCGGGGTGTGGGGGGGGAATAAATAAAAATAAATAAATAAAAGAGGAAGAATATAATGTAGGCAGTTGGTTACATTGATGATGAATGAACTGAAAAGCACACAGGGGACACTGAGGCAGCCCAGAGATTAGCAACAGTAGAAAGCCATTGAATACCCTGAGGCTGGAGGGACAAAGGGAAGAGCAGTATAACCAGATCTCTGGAGGTGGGTTAATCCAGAGAATCAAGAAACAGGTAGATTTACCTGGAGCAAGGTAGAGTGAGAGAGACAACATCAACCATCACTGGAGAAATTGCCCAGTGCAGAGAATGAAGAGGCAAAACACCCCACCTCCCCTCCAGCTCTAGTCTCTCATCAGTGTCTCCCATTAGCCCAGCACAACCAGGAACCAGGTGACATGGAGCTTGGGAAATACAGCCTGTGCGGTTAGCCCCCTGCAGTACAGAACAGAGCCTTGAAACCTAAGGAATGGATCTGAGGACAAACAGGCCCAAGATTAGCACTTACCTGCACCCATCTCTCCTTCTGGTAAAAGCATAATGGAATTTCTATGGGGGATAACGCCTGCCCTCCTTCCCTAATTCTGGATTGCTTTTTTATTTAACAGTACCAACCTTCAGGGGCCCCTGGGTGGCTCAGTCGATTAAGTGGCTGAGTCTTGATTTCAGCTCAGGTCATGGTATCACGGTTTGTGGGTTCGAGCCCCACATCAGGCTCTGTACCGACAGCATGGAGCCTGCTTGGGATTTTCCCTCTCTCCCTCTCTCTCTGCCCCTCCCCAGCTCTCTCTCTCTCTCTCTCTCTCTCAAAATAAATAAATAAAACTTAAAAACAAAATAAAACAAAACAAAACCCAATACCAACCTTCAGAGTTTCCTGGAGCTTGCAGAATTGATTTTCCAAAATGCAAAACCGTTGTTTCAGACTGTGAAGTTCTCGGTGGCAGAAACGGGATGGAAAGATGGTGTCTTTCAATACTTCTAAACTCTGAAATTAAAAAAAATAAACAAGGCTGAATTCTATAAGCAGCATGATAAAGACAGGAAAAAAGAGACAAGAAAGTGGTTTGATGTATGTTTTACAGAAGCAAAGGCATACATGACCTCATAATTTCATCTTACCTGAGCTTGGCCTGAGTGTTGTGCTGACCTGAGCATACACACATGTGAACATACACACCAAATATGTAGAAAAACCATATTGCTGAAAATAGGTATGTCAAACCCATACCTGGGCCATGCAGTTCTGGCACCAGTTGTATACAGACCACAGTCTATTTGTCCAAAGTTTTACTGTATCTTTGATATTGGGAAATTTGAAGTTCCAGGATGATCTTAGCCAGCTTCTGCTAAGGGGTATATCTGCTGAAGGAGTAACCACTCTGTAGGAAAAACAAAACCAAACAAATAAAAAACTCCTGAGTTGGAGTAACAGCTTCTGTTTAAATAACAAGCTAGTTTTATAGTATGACTCAGGAGCAGAGCCCACCTACCAAAAGCCAAATTCTGCATCAAATTCTAGAGTTTTGAGATCCACAAATTATTTTGTAAAGCAAATAGATTGTAATAAAGAAAATAAATAGCAAATAAAGAGGCATCATTGGGGGGACACCTGGGGGTTCAGTCGGTTAAGTGTTTGACTTCAGCTCAGGTCATGATCTCATGGTTCATCATGGTTCATGAGTTCAAGCCCTGCATCAGGCTCTATGCTGACAGCTCAGAGCCTGGGGCCTGCTTCAAATTCTGTGTCTCCCTCTCTCTCTCTGCCCCTTCCCTGCTCATGGTCTGTCTCTCTCTTTCAAAAATAAATACACATTAAAAAAAAAAAAAAAAAAGAGAGAGGCATCAGGGATTCAGTAATGAACAAAATAGATAGAAACCCTGCCCTCACTGAACTTACATGTCATGAAAGAAAGGTAAAAGTAAGTAAATAATATATATGGGTTGCTATTTAGTGAATACTAAGGAAAAGGATATATCAAGAGAGAAACATTGGGTGGAGGTGAAATTGTAGGTAGGGTGGGCATTGAAGTCTCACTGAGAAGGTGACTTTTGAGAAAAAAAACCTTAACAAAGTAAAGAAGCTAGCAACATGGGTGTCTGGCTGGATCAGTGGCAGAGCATGCAACTGTTTTTTTTAACTTTATTTATTTTGAGAGAGAGGAGAGGGAGAATCCCCAGCAAGCTAGGGGTTGTCAGCTGTCATTAGGGAGCCTGACACAGGGCTTGATCTCACAAACCATGAGATCATGACCTGAGCTGAAACCAAGAGTCGGCCGCTGAGCCAACTGAGCCACACAGGTGCCCTGAGCATGCGACTCTTGATCAATGGATCAATGGTCATGAGTTCAAGCCCCACTTTGGGCATGGAGCCTACTTAAAAAAAAAAAAAAAAAAAAAATTGGAGGGGCACCTGGGTGGCTCAGTCGGTTGAGTGTCCGACTTTGGCTCAGGTCATGATCTCGCGGTTTGTGGGTTCGAGCCCCGCGTCGGGCTCTGTGCTGACAGCTCAGAGCCTGGATCCTGCTTCAGATTCTGTGTCTCCCTCTCTCTCTGCCCCTAACCCACTCGCGTTCTGTCTCTGTCTCTCTCAAAGATAAATAAACATTTTTTTTTTTTAATTAAAAAAAAAAATTGGAGAAGTCAGCAATACAAATATCTGGGAGAAGAGCATTCCAGGCAAGGGTAAGAGTAAGGGCAAAGGCCCTGAGATGGCAGCTTGTCTGAGGTGTCTAGGGAACAGCAAGGAGGCCAGGATGACTAGGGTGGAGAAACTGAAGGTAGGGGATTAGGAGATAATGTCAAAGTCAGATCATAAAGGTCTAGTAGGTCAAACAAAGGATTTTAATTTTTACTCTGAGAGAGGAAGACATTGGAGAGTATGTATATTTGTATGTATGTATATATGATTTACTGAAATGTAATCTCTATGTCTAAGGTGGGGCTTGCACTCAGGACCCCAAGATCAAGAGTCACATGCTCTTCCAACTAAGCCAGGAAAAGCCGCTGGAGAGTTTTAAGCAGAGGGGCAATTTGACATGATTTTTAACAGACTCACTCTGACTACTGTGTTGAAATATGCTGCAGAGGGCAAGGACAGAAGCAGGAAGACCAGTTAGGGGCTGTTTTTAATATTCAAGAGAGATAGAGAAGGGTTAGGATAATATCATGATTAACGCTTTTTGAGGGCCTGTTTATTTAAAAATTTTTTCTGTAAAGAGAGTTATAACAATACAATGTATAAAGTGTTTTATTTTGAAACTCAGTATCCTAGGATTCCTATGACTTAAGAGCCTCTTTCAATAGCACATCTAGGGGCGCCTGGGTGGCGCAGTCGGTTAAGCGTCCGACTTCAGCCAGGTCACGATCTCGCGGTCCGTGAGTTCCAGCCCCACGTCGGGCTCTGGGCTGATGGCTCAGAGCCTGGAGCCTGTTTCCGATTCTGTGTCTCCCTCTTTCTCTGCCCCTCCCCCGTTCATGCTCTGTCTCTCTCTGTCCCAAAAATAAATAAACGTTGAAAAAAAAAATTAAAAAAAAAAAATAGCACATCTAAACCTAAGGCCCAGAGAATAATTGACAAAACCAAAACTAAGATTTAAATTCTAGCCCTATACCCCTCTTTCATCACTTAGCAGATTTATACAATTAAATTGACTAGGGAAGAAGAAAATAGTCAATCTGTGCATCTCCAATACAATTCTGTGATTTTTACTCTTGAACTATGTTCATCACATAAAATCCAGGATGCTCAGTGAAAATTTTATTTCAGACGAAGGATGAATAATTTTGTAATATAAGTATATTGCAAATGTTGCATGGTACAATATTAAAAAAATTATTGTTTATCTGAAATTCAAATTTAATTGGGCATTTTGTGTTTTAATTTGCTAAATCTGGTAATTCTGATATGGGAAACAAAGGCAAATGAAAAATTAGATTTTCTTCTTGCCTACAGCCCATTGACAAGTTCTTGAAATACAGTGACCTTTCTCTGGGAGCTCAGCTGCTTCGATATTGACACTTTGGGCAAAAAGCAATTTTAGCTTAATATTATCCTGACCTCCCAGGATCCTATAAATCTTCTTTAGCATATGAAAATCCCTTTGGAAACTTCCTTTATCTCTACTCCCTCAAGATATATGTTAGCAATCATTCTCCAAACATATTGCCCACTGATAAAAATCTAAAGGTCTCACGACTAAGGTTTTACTAGACAGTTAGTAAATGACTTTATCCTAACAGCAGCTAGCCTCTCAAGGTCCTGGAAACCTTGCCTCCAAATTCCTTAGAGACTTATGCTATCCCTAACTCCCTCCCCACTTGAAAGTATACAATCTGTCACCCAACACAACCTCAATGCAGCTCTTTCTGCCCATGGGTCCTGTCCCTGTGCTTTAATTAAACCATCTTTTTGCACTTAAGAGGTCTCAAGAATTCTTTCATGGCCATTGGCTCTGAACCCCAACATTTTCAACATCAACCCTATCCTTAATAGATTAGATTTTTAATATTTTTTCTGTTCTTTATTTAAACCTTACCTTTCTGGTGAGGGTAGCTGAGGAGGAGGTATAATTAGCTTGGGCTGAAAGTGAGAGACTTCTCTCTTTTTGAATAATCTTTTGGCTTTGGCTTTTAGCTTTCTTCTTCGTTGCTTGAACTTGGGCATGATTTCTGTAGAGAAAAATTTTTTTACATTTTTTATTTTAGAATTATATATACATATAGAAAATGCACAAATCTTAACAGTACAGTTCAATGAATTATCACAAAGTGAGCACATCCTTGTAACCAACCACCATGGTTAGGAAATACATTGCTACTAGCATCCTGGAAGTCCCCTGAAGTGAAGAAAAATTTAAACCCAGATTTGAAGTATCTTTAGAGAGACTCAGCTTTGGCATAATATTACTCTCTAATTTTGTTTTGCTTGCCTTGCTTTTCTTCATTAAGTCAAGTGTATTTCCCTTTCTTATAACAGAGAAAACGGCTCGAGTTGGTATTAAAAGAAGTGTCTTTACCAGTAACATTTACTGAGCATCCACTGTGATAGGTAGAGTAGGTAGTGGAAGAAACAAATTTAACCATTGAATGCCCACTTACTTTTATGCACCTTCACATACATTTTTTCAGTGACTCTTCACTGAATAAATCCTGCAAGATTTTATCCCTGGGGAAGAAGATTTTTATTCCTATTTTTACATAAAAGTAAACTGAGACATAGAAAGATTAGATGATTTGCCCAATGTAAAGCAGTATATAAGTAAGTCTACAGAGACCATGTTCATTCTAACACTCTATCATGCAACAGTAGATTAAATAGGAGATATACAATGTAATAAGTTACCCCAAATCTAAGACATGGGTGCTTCAAAACATTTATTTTAAAGCATTTTAAAACACCATCTAGTGGTAGATTTTAATCTAGATTCTTTTCTGAGGAAAATTAAGTCAGAGCTACTTTGATGAGAAGAAGGGCTTTGCTGGTTTCAGTTGTTGCTACCTGAAGAACAAAGATGTCTTTATTCAAGTAGCAGAAATAAAAATGGTCTCAAGGGCTGGGCCTCCTTCTTTTCAAACTTACATTTGAATAGGAACAATTGGCCTTTAAAATACACATTCATTCCACTTTTGTTCACCCAGTAACCTTTCAATAATTGGTATGCAGTTGTAGGCTTGCTCAGCTCTCAGATTGCACTGGTTGAAGAAACCCAGCCTTTTACCCACTGTGGATTGTAAAAACCCAGAAGCGGCTTACTGTAGTTCCAAGAGCTTTGGACTTGCAGAGGGCACCCCTAATGGCAATGGGTGACAGTGCATATTATCAACAGCTCTTCCAGGAGTAAAGTTTCCTTACAGCATCTTAATTGAATTGATGCCAGGTCTCAAACTAACAAACAGTGTTTCCTTAATTGTTCTTAGAGGCTTGGGAGACACACTGAAAAATACTTAGCTGACTTCACCTTTATTATATCACTTCTCCTTCCTGCTGAAATAATAAAAGAAGGCCAAGCAAGGATTGTTAAATACAAAGGATGGCTAAAGGATTGATTGATTTTTTCTAAACAAACTTAAAATAACACAAAACGGAAATACTCTGAATGAAGAAGTTTAGGGAAGCCTCAGAGGAAGCGGCAATCTTGTGGTTGCCTGAAAAGAAGATTAAACCTCATCAAACTCACGCCCACAACTTTCTATCGAGAAATGTCACTGGGAACCTCTCTCTAAGGTGCAGAGTTCACTGGTTGAAATCCCCAGAACCTGAGACTTCCATGGTAAACTCCTCTTCCTTGTCTTCTATCTGCCCTCCTCTACACAGCCCTCCCCCTTCTGTTCCCTCTCTCCCTTTGATGTCTTTTGTTAGACATCAAACTGACACAGAGAACTGGCCTCCTGCCTCTTTTTTCCCTTATTCTCACCAATCCCTTAGTTATAAAAATAGATTTTAAAGAAAGGAGCTGGACATTCTCATTTAAACTTGGTTCTATACCTTTATCTCCACTCCAGTGGTATGCTGGGATTGGCATCAACTGTTACCTTTTCAGGAAATCTGCGAGTTAGTTGTTAAACACATCCACCATTAAAATTAAGTTATATAAGCTTATAATTAGATAATTTATATTTAAAATGGTAATAAATATGATGTAAAACTCATCACTTTCTAATGATTTTACTATTATCTATGCTTTTGAGGCTATTCACCTTATTGTATCTATATAGTGAAAATGCTATATATTCTGCAGAAATGCAGAATGTTCATTTCTGTCCAACCCCATATTCAATGACTTCATATTGAAAACCTGAAATTGCCTATGATGGGAGTATTTACACAATGAATATTAAAAAAACACTACAGGGACACCTGGGTGACTCAGTCAGTTAAGCAACCAACTTAGGCTCAGGTCAGGTCAGGTCATGATCTCAAGGTTTGTGAGTTATAGCCCCATATAAGGCTCTCTCTTGTCAGTGCAGAGCTGCTTTGGATCCTCTGTCTCCCTCTCTCTGATTCTTCGCCCCCCCCCCCACCACCCCCACCTCAAAAATAAACACTAAAAATTTTTAAAAAACAACAACATTACAAATCAGGGCTTGATTCATTATGTTGTTGACTGTTAAGAAAGTGATAAAGAAAATATTAATAATGCAGATTAAATTTAAAATCATATGTTGTCTGTAGTTGTTACGTTGTGAATAGCATTAAAAAATTGAGAAATGGGGCGCCTGGGTGGCGCAGTCAGTTAAACGTCCGACTTCAGCCAGGTCACAATCTCGCGGTCCGTGAGTTCGAGCCCTGCGTCAGGCTCTGGGCTGATGGCTCGGAGCCTGGAGCCTGTTTCCGATTCTGTGTCTCCCTCTCTCTCTGCCCCTCCCCCGTTCATGCTCTGTCTCTCTCTGTCCCAAAAATAAATAAAAAACGTTGAAAAAAAAAATTGAGAAATGTTCCAGTATTTGAAAACTAGTATTTGATTCATCAAAGTTGCTTATACAACTGAAGTGAAGTTCCAAAGAAATCTTTGTGATTCACTTTATCTTATTCTATAGAATAATAAATGAAAATATCAACTGACATTCCTATTAGGACTATACTTGTTTATAAATTGCAACCATAGGTTGTCTACTGATACAAGAAATCGGTAAAAATCAACAATAGTATTCTCTGAAAATCAGCTGTATATGAAATTTACAAGAAAGAATATTATAGGGGTACCTGGCTGGCTCAGTAAGTTGAGCATATGATGATTGATCTCAGGGTCAGAAGTTCAAGCCTCACGTTGGGTGTAGAGGTTACTTAAAAATAAAATCTTAAAAAAAACAAAAAGTCAGTAAAGAAATAAAAAAAAATTATACACCCATGAAGCAAAGAATGGGAGCAGACTATCACAGATGATGAATGTTGACTAAATTATGGAAAATGGAAAGGAGATGGATGAATGGTAAATGACTTGGCAGAGTAGAAGAGAGCTGAGGCTTGACGGCTGGTGGTAGGGAAGCCAACTGGAAGCAAGATAATTTGTAGAAACTTTAAGAAGATTCTGGACTTAAAGGTACTTAGCACCTTTTAAAGTGTAGGGTGGGGTTAAAATAGGTTTAATTAAGTCATTATAAGGATTGGATAGGCTTCTGGAGTCTGTCTTCCAGTCCTGGTAGCCAGGCAGCTCCTGGCATTTATGTTCTCTCCTGTAAAGATGGATAGGTTTATTCTCTGGAGAAGTTGAACCATAGGGGTGTTAAATTGTGGGCCATCAGCCATAGCAATAGCAGAGTCATGTGTGTATTATCATACAGCAGGTAGGGGACAAACCTGAACTCAAAAGTGAGACTTTTAATTCCCTTCCTCAGCTCAGCTCCCAGAACACAGGCCACTGATTTTAATTTCGTGACTCAAACCCTCATGCCTTTCATTTCCCTTGCAGGAGGTGAGAAGATTCCTCTCCAGGGAAATTGGCTACCCCCCAAAAAAGGACCTACAGATACTGACATTTAGGGTCTCCCCAAAATGGCTAAGTGGTTGATCATTTACCCACTGTGGTATCACACAAGTTGATAATATCCACCTCCTGTACTTTGAGCTTCCAATTTTTTTTTTTTTTTGTGACTTCCTCTGACATACAACAGCCAAAGATCATGAATCACTTTAGGAAAGTCTCTAACATGAAAGACAAAGACCAAAATAAACAGAGGGGAAATAAAAGTCTTTCCATTTCAGAGGAAATGGAAAGGATATAGGAAGCAGAAGAAAACTTAAAAATTTTCAGAAAGTGGGATATTGCAGGGACACCTGGGTGGCTCAGTCAGTTAAGTGTCTGACTCTTGATTTCGGCTCTAGTCATGATCTCATGGTTCATGAGATTGAGACTGGTGTTGGGCTCTGCACTGACAGCATGGAGCCTGCTTGGGATTCTCTCTCCCTCTGCCTCTCTCTCTCCAAATGAATAAATAAACTTTAAAAAAAAAGAAAGAGAGAAACTGTATTCATGAAACAAGAAGGATGAAAAAAACTCTTAAAAATTAAAAGCAGTAGAAATTTAAAAAATGTAATACAACAGTTGGAAGATAAAAGTGTTAGGAGAGAACAGAGGAATGGAGAGAATTTTATCAAATAAACAATATAGAAATATTCCCTAGAACTGAAAGGCTTGAATTTTCTGTTTGAAATGGTCCATTCAGTATAACAAAAGAAGATCCACACTGAGGCATATCATCACAAAAATAAAGAGGAGATTCTAAAGGCTTCATGAGGGGCGCCTGGGTGGCTCAGCTGGTTGAGCGGCTGAGCATCTGACTTCAGCTCAGGTCATGATCTCATAGTTTGTGAGTTTGAGCCCGGTGTCGGACTCTGTGCTGACAGCTCAGAGCCTGGAGCCTGCTTCAGATTCTGTGTGTGTGTGTGTCTCTCTCTCTCTGCCCCTCCCCCACTCACGCTCTGTCCCTCTCTCTCTCTCTCTTTCTGCCCCTCCTC